ACCTACTGGGACCTGGGAGCAAGATCCACGGCTAACCGACGGGCCTCGGTCCGTTGGTAAACCCATGAGCTGTTGAAAATTGAAATACAGACCGCAGTTCGAATCCCTATCAACTCAGATGAGTAATAACTAGGTACTTGGTCAATTTACCATGGCTGGTCAGTTTACAGATTACATCTCAAGGCCGTCGCCCCCTTCAGAAAAAAAAAGAAAATAAAAGATCCACAACTAGCCTAACAAGTACGGCAATTACCGCAATGAGAACACTAAAAACCAAAGGTAAAAAAAAAAATCTGGTGTACATGACAATTGCAACCATGAAGGGTTGGGCTGACTCTTCTACAGCACTGTTCTTCCGCCTTCTTTTTCATTGTACTCATGCTTGCCGCGGTGATAAGCAGCTGGACTGATGCCACCCAAGAATAGCAGGGGCCGGGGAATTTCTTGAAAAAAAAAGAGAAAAACTTCAAAAAAGACTGGCATCCATGAAAACATCATCAACGCAGGCTTTTCTACCACCGATGAGAATGACGGCGCTGACGGCGACCAAAAGACAACAACAGCAACGATGAAGCAAGTACAGGACCAACACAGGCTGTGACACCACCGATGAGGATGATAGTCCTGATGATGAAGCAAGTGACAGGCTGTGACGACACTGATGACGATGAAAGCGCTGACGATGAAGCAAGCAACAACTATACAGGAGCAACACAGGCTGTGACGACACTGATAACGCAATGACAGCGCTGACGACGACCAAGGCAATAAGAACAACTGCGGCGATGAAGCACCAGCTCGTAACAACAGTGACGGCAATGATGGCCACAATGACGACGAAGCAGATCATAAAGAGCAACGGGGAGTCGGGGACCGACAAATCCCGATTGCAGGACAAATTGGGGTGACGATAATAATGATAGCAACGATGATGATGACGATGATGATGATAAAGATGATGATGATGATGATGATGATGATGATGATGATGACAATTTGACAAGTTAGACATCCATATTCGAAGGACAAGAAACATGAAAGTTGCAAAACCTTGGGGCTCTCTGAGGATGACCAACAAGTTCCTCTCCATTTTTAATTTGCTTGTTCTTTTTTGAAGTTTCTTTTAAAAAAGAATGCCAACATACTGTTGTTTTTTAATCCGACAAATTCCAATTGCAGTTTGCAGCTGAATCATTCCAGATACATACTTAAATAGAAAAGACGGAAAGAAATCTGACTAACAATAATAATATAATAAATAAAAATAATTAAAAATAAAAATGTAATGAAAAAGGGACTGGACTTTCATGGACTGTTGCCTACATGAAAAACAGAGCAACAAATCTTCTCCGATCTTTTCCGACCTCGTTCACTTCAGGAGCAGATCAATTACCATGGACAGAATGCAAGAACTCTCAAAAAAAAAAAAGAGTCGTATATCCCCAGCGACTCTTCCGCAACCTTGTTGCAACTTCTCCCTCCTTTAAAGGATACTAAAAAAAAAAACAGAAGAAAGTAATCCCTGCAACTCTTTTAGAAATGGATGGGGATCACAATTCCCCCAACGTACATTCTTAAGAATCTTAACAAAAACAAAAATAATTATCCTGGTAACAAATCCCTCTCATCTTCGTCTTTCTCCCTCCCTTGCATACCGCAGCCCAGAACTGCCCTCAAGAGAAATAAGCCTGAGCCACAGCACAAGTTGAAGAATAGTATCTTTGAGCAACGAGATTGAGAGGAACATGGTACATCTTGAGCATTTCGGGTATCGTTCTCAGGCACCTTGAGCATCATAAGCTTGAGCATGTTGAGCATCTTAAAATTGAGCACCTTTAGCATCTTGACGATCTCGAGTGACATAAGCCAGACTTCACATTTTTAGCACCTTGGGTATCCTTCTCGGGCACCTTGGGGGTACCTAGAGGCACCTTGACCATCTTAAGGTTGAGCACCTTCAGCATCTTAAGGTTGAGCACCTTCAGCATCTTAAGGTTGAGCACCTTCAGCATCTTGAGCATCTTGACCATCTGGAGTGACATAAGCCAGGCTTCACATTTTTAGCACCTTGGGCATTCTTGTCGGGCCGTTGAGTACCTAGAGGCACCTTGAGCATCTTACAAATGATCATGTTGAGCATCTTAAGGTTGAACACCTTGGGCACCTTGAGAATCTTGAGCATCTTGAGCACCTTGAGCACCTTGACCTTGAGAATCTTGAGCATCTTGAGCACCTTGAGCACCTTGAGCATCTTGAGCAACTTGAGCACCTTGAGCACCTAGAGCATCTTGAGCGTCTTGAGTAACATAAGCCAGGCTTCACATTTTTAGCACCTTAAGATGCTCAAGATGCCCTTGAGCATCTTGAGCATCTTGAGCGTCTTGAGCACCTTGAGCATCTTAAGATTAGCCAGGCTGTAGAAACTTGGAATGTTAACCAGAGTTAAGCAAGTGAGAAAAGGCAAAGAAAGTGTGCATGACTTCTGCATCCTCCGGGTTCAACACTTGAGAGAGCATCTAGACCATTTTGAGTAACAGAAGATATAGGCTGAACAAACTTGGTTTGTGTACATTGATTATCTGCGTGGGGAGTATAGCTGTCACCAACGGGCCTAGCTCAGTTGGTACACCCCATGAGCTGTTGAAATACGGACCCGAGTTCGAATCCAGATGCAATCAGATGAACAAAATACAATAATCATCGAAGGCAAAAGAGAAAAAGAAAGAGAGAGGAGAGGAAGGAAGAGGACAAGAAGAGGAGAAGAAGAGGAGAGGTGGCAAAAGGCACATCTTTTGAGCAGAGAGAAGCAACTTAGAAGCCGAAGAAAGCGTGTGCGTCCTTCTTCCTGCTCGAGATGCTCCAGTGCAGCAGCTGGCTAGAAAATGCTCTTACCGCAGAGGCCAAGCTCAAATTAACCAAGTTCCAGACAGAGAGAAGGTCAAGCAGCTTCAGCAAACTCTGTCGGCACAACCCTCAACCGTTGAAATACAGACCCGAGTTCGAACTCAACAGGAAGCAGACGAGTGCGAGTGAAATACTACAATTCCTTGAGAAAAAGAAAAGAAAATAGGTGTAGGAGTAGGAGGTCACGCAGGTTCATCAAACTCACCAGAATTTTTAAGAATCCCCTAAGTTGTTAGGAGGCATCCGAACTGCGCCTAGCTCAGTTGGTACACCCCTTTGAACGAAGTGATGAAATACAGACCAGGAACGAAGTGATGAAATACAGACCAGGAACGAAGTGATGAAATACAGACCAGGAACGAACTGATGAAATACAGACCAGGAACGAACTGATGAAATACAGACCAGGTGCTGAGTTCGAACTCCACCGGAAGCAGACGAGTGAAATACTACAATTCTTTTGAGAAAAAGGAAAAGAGGTGGACTCCTTGATCAGATGTCTTCAACCGGAGTTCGAACTCCACTGGAAGCAGAGGGCTTTTACATCTGAGCGGCTTGCCGAGCTGAAATACGTCGTCAACCTGCTGGCATTGCTCAACCAGATCCAAGCAGCTGGAGTGCTGGGCCTGTGCAGATGCCAAACTAGGTGACATACAAGGCAAACCCAGCAAAAACGTTTTACTGCAACGGCCGTGGGCATCAAGCAACCATCACCTGGATCTCGAAACATGGAGGCCAGATAGGAAGCCCTGGGCTGACTGGTGGCACCAACACGACTGCTGTGAGGCATCGAATCGTTGCCTCTCTTGCTCTCCCCCCAAAAAAAAGGGTTACAAAACAAAATTCCCACAGGTGTGCAGCGCAACCCGCCAGATTCTGCAGATGAATAAATAATACGGATCTCCGTCACTGGCGTGCTCATACCACAGACATA